ATCATGTTTCCCTCTTAGAACCATGTCAGGATCGACTGCCCTCGCCATCTGCGCTGTTCCACTGTCAAGCTACAACCCGGCATTGGAAATCGCCAAATCCAGAGAGCTGTAGTCATCTAAACGTTTTGTTTTCACAGTAATTTAATGTGCTTTAACGTTTGACCCGGAATTACATGGTGGGAAACCAGACCCAAACATTCTTTCCTCCTGTCGTGACCATCTCCCTTTTCTTTGCTTCCCCTTTGTAGCTGTGCTTCACGAGCTCTTAGGAGCAAGGGACTCCCTGAAGCTCTCGATGCTTTTTCCTTATGTCATCTTCCCAGTACCTTTATGGTGGAGGCCATCCTCCCCACCCCTACTTTACAGATGACGGAATGAAGGCTCACTGAGGATGAGAAAATTGTTCTCAAGGTTAAACTGGGAGGATGTCAGGGTCAGAGCCTACGGATTTTTTTTAATATTCTGGTATATATTGTTTGGGTGAACAACTTTATTGAGCTGTCATTCACATGCCATACCATTCATCTGTTGAAAGTATGGAATTCATTTGTTCTTAGTGTCTTCAAAGAACTATGTATCACCACCACAATCCTGGAGCAAAGAAACCTTATACCCTGTAGCTGTCATCCCTGATCCTAGGCAACCGGGAATTTGCTTACTGTAGGCTCTCCTATTGCAGATAGTTCATGTGAATGGAACCTTATAATGTGTGATCTTTTGTGACTGACTTAGTGTAATGTTTTAAGGTTCATGCTGTAGCTACTTGCTGTATATACTCGTGTATCAGCCGAGTTTTCCAGCACATTGTTAATTCAGTTTTTGTGGTAAAATTAGGTGCCTCAGCTGATATTCGGGTCGGCTTATACTGGAGTGTATACGGTAATTCCAAATCCAAAGTCACCAAGATTTGTCCTCATGTGGTCTTCTAAGGGCTTATAGATTTACTTCTTACAGGTGGGCCTTCAATCCATAATGAGTTAATTTTTGTATGTGGAGTGAGGTAGGGGTGTAACTTGTTTCTTTTGCATATGGATATCCAATTGCCTCAGCACCGTTTGTCGAAAAGACCATTTTTCCCTATAGAATTGTTTAGGCTTCCCTATAGGATTATCTGAGGAGCCCTGGTAGCTGGATTATGCACTGGACTGAGATCCACAAGGTCTGTGGCTCACAATCACCAGATCCTCCTCAGGAGAGAGAAGGGGCTTTTTAATCCTGTGTACAGTTACAGTCTCGGAAATTCACTGGGGCAGTTCTACCTGTCTTCTGGGGCTCTATGATATGCAGCCGGGGCCAAGGCGCGAACTGGCAGCAACTCCGAGCAACTGGGAGGTTGGGAGCAAGCCCTGGGTCTTAACCTCAGCGCTGGTTTGCTGGGTGACCTTGCACGCCTCCACGCCCTCTCTGGGCCACTATGAGTCGGCATTGACTCGATGGCAGTGCACTTTTGTGAGTTTTTATATAATTATATGGGAACCCTTGTCTAAAACCACTTGACTGTAAATGCGGGGCCAGAGCCTGTGCATAAGCATTTTAATATATTTACAGCCAAGGATCTCTGGTGGTATAGTGGGTTACATGTCAGGCTGCTAACTGCAAGGTCAGCCGTGGAAATCCACCAGCAACTTCGTGGGAGAAAGATGAGGCCGTCTGGCCCTGTAAAGTTTTACAGCCTCGGAAGACCTAGGGAGCTGTTCCACTCTGTCCTGCAGGCTTGTTAAGAGTGGGGATCTGCTTGCTGACAGTGGGTCTGGTCTAGTTACAGCCTACCTCTGCGGAACTCCAGGGGGAGGAAGGGAGCAGAGTGCTGAGGGACCCTTCCCCAGGGAGGCGACGCTTCACACAAACCAAGAGAACATAATCAGAGACAAGAGGGTGAAAGGAAAGTTAGGTCTTATGGCAGACCTGTAGGCTGTGCTGTTTTCACTTTGTTCCACAGGTATCAGGAGCCGAGAAATGGTTTATCAGGGCCGTGAAGTGACCAAAACCAAACCAAAATCACTGCCAGCGAGTCGCTGCCAACCCTTAGCAACCCTCTAGGACAGGTAGAACTGCCCTTGTGAGTTTCTGAGACTGTAACTGTTAACGGGAGTAGAAAACCCTGTCTTTCTCCCTTGGAGTGGCTGGTGGTTTCAAACTGCTGACCTTGCAGTTAGTAGCCCAATGCATAACCACTGTGCCCACTCCTCATGAAGTGATTGGCCAGAGCCTCTTACTAGAAAGGTCTGTCTGATGGCAGATGGTGAATTGGAGGGGAGAGACTGCAAGTAGGGAGACCCATTAGTTGCCCTTTGTTGCTTTGTGTCAGAACCATGGTGAGGCCGGAACCAGGTGAGCGGAGGACCAGAGGCAGTGTGACCAGAGGAGTGGGGGAAGCTGACAAATGACAGCTGGGCCGAGTTTTGAGGAGAATTGGCAGGCTTGGTGACTGAATGATGTGAACGTAAAGGGAGAAGATGTAATGTGACACCAGCTACTTAGGCAAGGAGTCGTGAAATCCAACAATTACTCACTCACTTGTCTTGGCTCATTAGAAAATTGTTGTCAGGGGCCGTTAAATCAGTTCCTCTTTGGGTAACCCTATGTAAAATGTTCTTTTCCATGTAGAAATATATCTTTTTAAAAAGTATGTGTTGCTTTGTCTTTAAAAACAGGTCATTTGTGGCCCAGGCAGCTTTTCTTAAACACTTTCCCAACAACTTCCGTTTTGGCATTGAAGACTGCCCTCGGGAATGGTGAGATTCAGTTACTTGCCTTTTCTCTTATGATTTATTATATTTAATATAGTTTATGTAGTTTTTAAAATATAAATAAGTAACATTCTTTATAATAGAAATGCTATGACTTAAAGAGTATTTAAAAAAATCTTTTAATAGCAATTGGTATTACTAAAAAATCGGCTACCACTTATTGAACAAGAAGACTTGGTGGAGCAATTTCTTAAGGATTTGCCCTCAAACTGAAAGGTAGCAATTGCAACCCATCCACTGGAAAGACTATACTCAACCTATTGGGCAGTTTGCCAATGGCGTCAAGGTTGGCTGCTTGTATTGTGTATCAGGCTTGTAAGGCCTGACACCAGCTATTATTCCCGTTTTACAGATGTTGCAGAGAGTCTCTGAGAAGCGAAGTGACTTGCTCAAGATCACACAGCCGCTAAATGGCAGGCCTGGGACCTGAGCAGTCTGGATAGAAGGGTTTTGTCCCTATAACCGTGACAGCACAGGCCGTCTCTTGAGTCAATCCCCAGGCAGAAAGGCAGCCAGCAAGGAAACCCCTGCCTTTTACACGTGGACTGTTATTGGGTTAGAAGTGAAGTCTCTTGTTTTTGAATGTACAAAGTTGGATACTGTAACTACTGTTCTGCACCTTGCTCTTTGCAGGTTTTCTACATCAGTGCACTGCAGGACTGCATACTGCAGGGGGTGCCACTCACCCAGAGAGAGGGTGGGGAGCCGTGTGTATGTGTTGGTAGCCCTGGTGCATATCGCATAGCTGTTTCTCTTGAGTTAGTGTCATCTATTACGTGGATGAATTGTTTTTAGTTAAGGAAAGACCACCCTTGAAATAGAATTATTTAACATTCAGGATTTATTTTATTGTTAGCAATTACTGGTACCAATGGTGCTTCTCATAGCCATGAAGTATCTAACTCAAAATTTTATTTCCATTTATCTCCAGGCCCTTTGTCATCACTGGGGACCAGAGGAAACTGTCATTACACCATCTTGAGCCATGTACTACAGACACAAGGCTGTGTTTATTCTCCTAGTAACTGGATGGGCCAACAGTGTAGACCCTCCAGTTTCTTCAATAAATGTATGTAGAACGGCCACAAACTTCCTATTACATAAAAGAGTGGGGGGAAAGAAAGATATTTTCTGCAGTTTAATTTTCCTCCTTTTTTCAAATGAATTAACCTTTCAGTGATTAGTTCCTTAGGTACCTCTTAGAATTACCTTATATGATCTGTGTTAGGCAGGGTTTTCTAGAGAAACAAAATAAGGACACTTAGGATTTTATATGTTTTATATATATAGGTTTGTACAGTGAGAAGGAATATAACAGCTAATTAGTCCACATAGCAGTACAGAGGGCTCAGTTCAACTCACTTCTGTAGAACAGTTAATATCCTGGAAGTCCTTCAACTCACCTGGGCTGCTGGATCCAAGGTCAAGGAAACAGAGTGAGAAGTCTTCCCTTAAGCAAAGCACGCAGAGTCTGTCCATAGGCGTTAGACAGCCGGGTGGGTCAGCAAGTCAGTAGCTCCAGAGGTTATCCAGGCAGGCCCTGATGGGATCTGGAACTCAAGCAGAACGACAGGATCCACCAGCTCTAGCTCAAGCAATGTACGCACTCGCAGCGTGGCGAAGCAGGTCCCCAAGGGGCCTCAAGCTCCAGCAACATGATCCACGGGTTGGCTAGGCCCACAGGTGGTGTAGGTTGAGGCAGAGAACTAGCTAAAGCAGCAGCACACTGGTATGATCATCAGGGAGCAAGAGAGGAAGTCCCAGAATTCTCATAAGGCCACACCCACAACGAGGCATCAGTCAGGCTGTGACCTGATTGGCAGGCTAGACTCCACCCCTATAGCTTGTTTATCAAGTTGACATGAAATAATGGAACTGCCACAATGTCCTCAGTGCTCTTATGCTACACTCTTGGAAGCCCTAGTTTAAGCAGGAGCAAGATGAAGCGTTCTACTGCTGTAAATATTTAGTCTTGGGCCCCACGTGCACTGCTCCTTGTCTATAGAGTCACTATGAGTTGGAATCAACTCAACAGTGGGATGAGTTTATGTTAAAGGAGCCTGGTAGCACAACCATAGATCATCTGTCTGCTAGCTGAAAGATTGGTGGTTTGACCCCAATTCAAAATAGCATGTTAAACTAATGAGGGTCTTACATCAATACTTTCGGTTGTTGTAGTAGTAAAATCTCCATCAAAACACATTAATTCAACATGTATTAAGTTGCTAAAAATGTTCCTTAGGAATATTTAAGAATGTAGGGAAGAGCTAGCAATATTAAGAGGGGAAAAAAACCAAGATATTAAATTATATGTATAACTTCCATTTTATTTAGAGCAGAACAAATATGTATACTTATACATGCATCAATAATATAAAGCTAAATAAGCAAATTGTATATTCTGACCTAACAGTGTGATGGGGTTATGGTTTATTTAAATATTCTTTATATTGTCTTTTTCTTCTGGAGGAAAAAAATAGCTTCTTTTGTAATCTGAAAAAAGATTTAAACTATTTTTGGGGTATAGTGGCAATCAAAAGTTGATGTGTGATTGCCATCGTTTTCAAATGTGGTTAGAAATCTGATTTTATTTTCCTCTTATAATACTAAGCTAAACTTTTTAATATTTTGAATATGTTTGTCTCAATTTCAAGTCTTTGGAAAATTGAGTCCTAAAAAGAAAACCTTAGTGAGTGATGTACTTAAGGTCAAGAAAACTAATCGAGTGACCTTTTAGTATACACCCAGTAAAACTGCTTCCACTGAACTTTTAAGCTTTTTGATTTACAGAAACCATCACTTTTCAACAGCTAAGAAAGAAAATCTAATCTTTCGTGTGCGTACAGTTTGAGTTTTTACTTTGGCAGTGGGCTGCTGTCGACAAGTCAGTAGTTCAAACCCACCATCCATTCTGCAGCGGAAAGATGAGGCTGCCGGCTCTTGTACAGACTTCAAGTCTTGGACATCTTCTGTAGGCTCACTGTGAGCTGCAGTCCACTCCATCGTAGTGGATGTGGGTTGCTTTGGTTTTTAAAAGGAGAATTAGTGTTTGTCTGACTGGAGCTTAGCCTTTTGCTCCCTGCATGGATGCACAGAGCAACCTGCTGCTGTGGACACTCACTTTTCTGAGCATCATTTATAAAGATCAGCTACAATGTGTGTGTGTGTGTGTGTGTGTGTGTGTGTGTGTGTGTGTGTGTTGAAGAGTGAGATACTAGGCAGATACAAAACATTTTAGAACATTTAGGACCTGTTTTTAAAAACAGTCTTAGAAATTTAAAATATTTTTCTTTTTGGATGTTAGTTACATAGAGAATTGGGGCAAGGTCTTTCAGAAGCAACTAGGTAGAACATCTAAACCCAAAGGTTTATAAGAGAAGGAGAGTGAAGATATTGATTATGCTAATTAATTCAAGAGCTCTTCCAAAAGTACATGGGAAAATGGAATGTAAAGTTGATGGACTGTTCCCACAAACTTTTGAAGCTCCTTTTTAAAAAAAATCATTTTATTGGGGACTCATATAACTCTTATCACAATCCATCCATCCATCCATTGTGTCAAGCACATCTGTACATTCATTACCCTTACCATTCTCGAAGGTCCCTTTAATGTTTCATGTTCCACACATGTAGATTGACGTTTCTCAGATTTTGGACTAGTAGGACATTTTGTGTGAGTAGATTTATTTATCAAAAGACTGATAAGGTAACAGCTGCAGTGATTAAAATCAACTGATGGTACTGTGAGCAGTTGGAAGTCTTGGGGAGACGATTTGAATCCAATAGATAATGTAGCTACACCCATAAAATTCATTAGTGGGCAAGTAAAGACTAAATACCCCACCTGTAGACAC